ACACATATCATGACTTAATTCAGTTCTCTATTCTTAATTTACTATTAAATCCTTTATTTTTTCCTCTTAAAAATTTTTATAGATGTTCAGAAAAAGAAAATGTAACCCATTCCTTACCACCTCTTAGGCTATACCTTTACATAATATTTTTATGTCGATATTTGTGCTTACTATAGCTCCTTTTTAGGGTTTGCTAAAGGTAGTTTATATAGGCTGAATTAGCAAGGGTTGTTGAGGTTAACTGAAGTTACTTGATTATAGATCAGGTTACTTTAGAAGGATCTAAAGCACCATCAAATCCTCTACATTTTAGGCCATTGCTAGCAATGCTCTGGCTAATAATTTTGTTATACTAATTATTTTGTTTAGGGCTAAGTATAGTGGGGTATCTAACCCCATTTTGACTTTAACTATCGTATCATCAGAAATAGTTTTGTTGTTTGTTTTAGCTACAGCTTATTACAGCCTAGTTAAAATGTATCTGTATTTTGGGGGAGATCTTTAACACCGTTTATACATGTTTTTATTAATTTAAGTTAATCATATGACTGTGGTGGCTGGCATGAAATTCACCAATTATTATTATATAACTAAGTCAAACTTTCCTTTATAGTTTAATTTTTATCACTGATAGAAAAGCTGGGGCCAAACCTTTAATGTTGTTGGAGTTAATAAACTCATCTAAGCATTTTCAGCACCTTGTTTTAATTATTAAGCTGCATGAACAAATATGTTTTACATACTGTATCCTCTCCAGGGATTTGCTTGTCTAGATGATATATAAGTATTATTAGGGTAAACAGAAAAATTTTAGTATGTGTGATTGTGAAATGACAGGGGGTTTCTTTTTTATTTTAATAATGAGTGCACCTATAGGAACAAATCATTTCCACCAAAATGAAAAAGTAATTTGAATGCAAAGAATGAAGCAAGCACATCCATTAATTATACTTAAAGTTCTTTAAGGGCAACTTGCAGGGCCCTCAATGATAGAGCCAGGGAGGACTTCAAGTCATGATAGGATCCATACCTCCCACACCCCACAAAGGTCTTACATCCCACTGAAGCTTAGTATTTAGAAATAAAAAAAAGCAGGAACTTTTGTAAGGTTATTGATACCATTAATTGAGAGGACATGTCAGATGTCTTTAATAGTTCGGTATGGTTTATGAATATAGGTTATTATAGATGTAGAAAACAGTAGAGAATTTGATTATCTTCCCAGAGCAAGATCATGGGCCTAAGATGGCATCAGTGCACAATGGAATCACATTGGTTTTCCTATATTTGATTTGTGGAATTAGAAGAGGATGGATCTAGGGATTTGGCAGTCTGTAGAACCTGTATCAATAGAGATGCATGTTAGCATGATAATGGTGTAGCGCTATTTAAATTAGTGCCTTGTTTGGAGAATTATGAGCTTGACTGAGCTATAAGATTGGTCTTTAGGGCAAGTATGGTTAGGCTTTATATAAGCTGCTATATTTTTATTTAGGGGCTTGGCAAGGTATTGTACACATACACATATATACGTATATATGTAGTTTGGAGCTTAACAGGGCAAGAGGGATTGTTTAAATAATTTTTATTGGTTATCATGTATGTGTGTAGTACTCTGGAAGTTCTCCTACTGTGAATGTTGAAAATGGGTTCTTTACATTATTCATAGGAGACAGGACTGCAACAGGGTTTTTCAACTTTGGCATTGTCAGCAGTTGGAACAGATTTTATGTTGTAGAGGGCTGTCCTTTGCAATATAGGTATGTGCTTTCTACTCAATGCCACAAACATCTCCTGTTGTAAAAAAAAGCCTCTCGGCATGGCAAAATCACTCCTAGTGAAATCACTATTTTTTTCCAGTGATGTATAAGAAATTGAAAATAAGAAGAAAGGTTCCAGAAAAATAGACAGCATACATCCTGTTTTTGAAGTTAGAAGCAAATGATTCTCAATGTCTGATAAGAACAGTTTGATTCTGGTTAAAGTTCTAAAATGTTATAGTAATTAATTATGAACACTTAAAAAAAGAATATTGTAAACTATCATTGATAGGATTCCTAATGAATACAAATGATCACCAAAGCAAATGATCCCATATTACCTCAGTTGCACATAAGTAAGGTACTGTACAAGTATAGTTGATAAGGTATTATAACATGTTGTGATTGTTCTTGTGGATCAAATGGGGAAAGATAAGTTTGGCAGTGGTACAGTTAGAAACTGGTAGACTGTACCTAAAGAATACTGACCCACAGGGATATGGCTGCCTATGTGAAATTTTAGTATTGGATATTTTTATTTAACTGGATGAAGATATTAAATACATTCTATAAAATTTGTCAGTGACAAAGTTAGGAATTTCATTATAGACCTATGAATTAGAATCCAAAAGGATTTCAGATGACTGAGAAAATGGATTGAGTCTCAAAACATAAAATGTAAACGGAATAAACATATATCCCACCGTTGTATTAAAAAATTCAACGGCTTAAATAAAAGATGGGAGACACATGGCTTTGAAGCAGTATTGGCAAAACAGGGATTACAACCAGTAGTAAAACCAAAATGAGTTACAGTATCACTAAATACCTAGTAGGATAAACTACTAGTCTGTTAACTGTTTTGAGTAAAAATGTTGTGTGCTCTGCCTACAGAAGGGATATTGCATTTAATTCTGGATGTATTTTTGTTAAAAGGAGACTACCTATTGATGGCTCAGAACAGAGAAAATGTAGGAAAATGAGATATCAATCTTAAAATCTTAAGAGTTATCATCTGGTAGGGAGATTAGATTTTGTGTGACCCCAAAAAGTAAGTAAGAACCAATGAGTAGAAGGCATGGGAGAAAGGTTTCTCACTGTTAACTAAAATCAAAATAGTGAAAAGTTGCCCAAAGTTATGGGTGGCCTCAGGAGACAATGATTTCCCATTACTAAATGTTTTTAGGCAGAGGTTTTAGGACGGTTAGTATCTTAATGGAGATCTGAAAAATGAATCTAAGCATCATTTGGGTGGTTAGATAGATCAGTACTTATCAACAGAAGAACCTTTTTCAAATAAATTCTTAAACACACAAAAGCTAAACTGCTCTTGATATAGTAAGCACCTGCCTTCATTCTCCCTTAACAGTGTCAGCATAATCTGTCCAAGCCAGAATTATCCTGCTGGATATACAGAGCAACGTAAAAACCAGCTAAGGCTTACAAAGGCCTTTTCACAATTATTTCAAAATACATATACAGAAATGTGTGTGTGTGTGTGTGTTTGTGTTAAAATTACTCTTTGGAGAATTTTTTTCCACCAAATACTTTTTAGTATTTAAGACAAAAAGCTGGATTCATTAACTGACTTAATGAAATCAAGTTTTTTAAACATGTGAATTTACGGAATTTTGTTTTTAATAATTTCCAAATATCAGACTTACGGAAGTCATGAATAGCCTAACATTTTTCCTTTATTATTTGTTCTTTATTTGTATGTATATTACAATGTTATTTCTCTTTAACACTTTGAAAATAAGTTGCAAATCTGCTGAAAATAAGGATATTCTGTTATATAACCAAAGTATAATTCTCAATTTCAGTAAATTTAGCAATAAATCTATGACCCATGTTCCACTTCTGTTATTTGACTCAAAAATGTCCTTTATAACAATTTTTAGAGAACTGTTAAGAAAAAATTTAAATAATATTAGGAATATGTGTCAAGGTTGATATCCAAAGTCATTTAAATTAAGTGGAAAGAAAATTGAAGCATAACTCTTTTCTAGCACAAACTCGGTAATTTACATAAATTCATATATTTTGGAAATATCTAGAAAAATGATTTTGGTTCTTTTACAGAATTCAGAATGTTTAAGAAAGGGAGTAAAATAAAATTTAGTTTTTGTTTTTAATGTTAAATACTGCTGTATGACCACTTGAGGAGTATATTACAGATTTCAACTAGACATACTTCTTATGGAAAAAAACTCGTTGAATTCTACATTTGGAAGTAATAGGGTTATTATAAGCTATTTTATATCTTAATTTGTGCCACACACATTGTCATGGGCCTGAAAAATAACTTTCTACCCTTGTATGTAATGTGCCATTTTCATTTTTCAAATATGGATTGCTCTTTAAGAATAACAGCAACATCTTTTTATAGAAATTTTGATAATTCTTGAAAAATTTTAATCTTTTTCATCCTATTACGGAGACTAGTAATACTGTGATTTCATTCAGCCTTATTTCTCAAAGTTTTAATCCTGATGGACATACACTTTTGTATGTTGCTGGAAGTTCATAAACTTCAGATACATATTTCATACTGTTGATGGATATACATGTCTTTAAGTCTGTATGATTGAATATTTTGGTTATTTCCAACTTCTGATATATAAACAACTAAATGAATTTACCAAAGTGAATTTATCACATCAAAGGACATCAGTAACCCAATAAAGTACAAATATCTAGAGTATATAAGACTTACACAAATCAGTAAGATATTAAACCTAATATAAATTCAGATAGACAAGCAATTAGGTACTGTGCAAAAGGCATGAAAAGAATAATGATGCAACAAGATTTCTCATACATAACTGGTGGGACTATAAACAGAAAAAAATTGCATTTTGTTCAGAGTTAAACTTATAGACATGATTTCTGTTCCTATGTATATTCCAGCAATTCCATTCATATATATCTACATACACACAAACTAGAAAAGTATGTTCATGCATTCTGAAAGAAATGTACAAGCACTTGTATGATAACTAAGTCTGGAAAGTAGAAACCATCTAAATGTCTCATCGGTAGTAGTATTGCTGAAATGAAAATGAACCAATATTATAGATAACCACAGGCAAAAACATAGATGAACTTCTCTTGTTGTTAATTGATGGTTACTTTAACACCCGATTCTTTGTATACAAATTTGCACTAATGTGGCAAGATTACCTTTTTTGATAAATATATCTCTACCTTTATCACTGATTCTTTTGAATTTTTAAATAGGATTTACTTAAATCCATCATATCAAGAATGAAGAAGGCAATAGAAGATGATGTTTTTATTCCTTTGTATCCAAAGAGGTAAAAACTGTTAATTTCTAGATTGTGGAAATAGTTAATAATGTAAAGCAGATTTAAGAATAATGTAAAAGAAAATTGTTTTCAAAACATACACCTTTTAAGATGCAAACTGAGATTTCAATAACAATTTCTTAGTCACCCTTTTTCTGCCATGCATGACACCTGGCACTTGGACATACGAGTTTTTTATTATGTCACTCCTAAGAATATGACATGTCATATACAGAATGGTCAAAAACAGAGATTTTGGAAAATAGAGTTATCACTGAATATTTAACATCGAGCCTTTCTCCTTGTGCATTATTCTCCTATGTAAACTGGGCATTAAGTTAATGCCTATTTCTAAGGAAATAGAACTGTGACGATGGAGTGCTCAGAACAATGCCAGGCACAGCACATCACTGAGGGGCCGTGAAATTGCATCTATGAATTCTGTATTTACCTTAAAGAAACATGTAGTATTTAGTCAATGTTCCTACATTTGCTAAGAAAGCATAATTATATGTTAGTATAAGATATATATTTATATGTGTACACACACACACAGTAAAAGATCCATAGTAATGGATTGTGAACTGAATCTGTCCAGTGAGAGTACTCAGAATGGAAGAGCTTTCTGCAAAAAGAAAGGAATTTCTAAACTTCTGATTAGTTCAAATCATAAGTCAGCATGCAAAAATTTTGCTCGCTAAGGCTTGTTTTATGTAATGTTTTAGAGAATATAGTTACATGGTTTAAAAGCATGTGTACATTTTCTGATTATTTAAAATGAAGTCTTACTCCCACTCCGAACCTCATCCATCTGTGTTTGTGCCCTTTCTCCTTTCACATACATGTATGCAACAGCCAGTTAATTTTTTTTCTTTCCAGAACTACTTCATGCAATTATATACATAAACTATAATCTTATATTCCCCTCCTTTCTATTAGCAAAGGGAATATATTATAAATAGTTGTAACCAGTTTTGTACATTGTTTTTTTAACTTTATTACATCTTACATCTTTGAGATCTTTTCATGTCATCACCTAAGTAGTGATGGAATATCTTTTATAAACATATTCATGTGCAAGTACCGCTACATAAGGTATTCTTAGCATTGAGGTTATTGGGTCAAAATATGCATGCTTTTGTAATTTTGCTATCAGAGAATCTCTATTTATATTCCATTAGGGCTTAGTTTGGTCTCAAAAGATTAACAGTTGTTTTTGCACTTTCTCCTTTCTCTTCTGTTTCATATCAGTACTATAGAAGATAAAACATCATCACACTCAAAGTTCCAAGAAAGACAGTTCTGGTCAGGTCTAAAGGTAAGCATTAAACTGCCAAAATTAAAGTACAGTAGATGAGAGATCAGCAAATCTGTCAAGGACCAGATTGTAGAGTTTTGGCCTTCTAGTTTATATAGTCTCTATTGAACAAATCAACTATGCCACCATAGTATAAAAGTCATAGAAAATATGACAACAAATGAAAATGGCTGTTTTAATAAAACTTTATTTATAGACATCAAAATCTGAATGGTATAATTTTCCCTTACAACAAAATGTTCAATCATTTAAAATATAAAAAGCATTATTCACTAACTATGCAGAAACATACAGCATACTGGAGTTAACCTTAAGGACCAGTTCGCAGTGACTTCTCCCTTTATCTTTTCGACCAGGGGTTAGCTACATCATTGGCACTAGGGATGGTACGATGGTTTCAAAAGGTATTTAGCATGAAGCATAGAAAGGATTTCATGACTAATTAATGTGACGAATGTAGGGTAATAGCCAGGTTTCATCTTTGGCAGCCTGGTAACTTACAATGACGTTCTTTAAGGGCATTGGAGGGAGTAAGATAAGGACATAGTGAATTGAAGATACCTGCAGGGAAAAATGAATCTGAGTCTAAAATGCAGGGGCCACCTCAGCACTGTATTTCAGTCATTCTGCCTATTCTGCTCCCCACTCTGTCTCTGGTGAATACTCTCACTGCCCCCATGCCTCTGGCCTGTACCTCAGTTCTTATATGCATAAATAAATCTTTTTTTAAAAAATGCAGGGGCCAGATTTGAGTTGGAAACTTGGCAGTATTTGGAGGCATCCTGAATGACAGCCTGAGGAGAACGGTTGAAGCATACGATAAGCATAAAGAAACAAGCATGAGGGGGCCTCCCCAGTGGTGCAACAGGTTGAGCACAGCACTGTGAAGCTGCCCGCAGCCTTGGCAGCACAGGTTTAATTCCTGGCCGGCTGCAGATACCCACATACCCAATGGCCACATACCCACATGGCGTGGCAGACCTCTCCTATTTTGCCTGCTCCTCCCCTCAGCAGTGTTTTCGGTCCATCTGCCTGTTATGCTCCCCACTCTGTCTCTGGTGAATTCTCTCACCACACCCCATGCCTGGCCTGTAGCCCAGTTCTTGTATGCATAAATCTTTTTAAAAAATAAAATGCAGGGGCCAGATTTGAGCTGGAAACTTGGCAGTATTTGGAGGCATCCTGAATGACAGCCTTCGAGAATGGTTGAAGCATAAGAGAAGCCTAAAGGAACAACCAAGAGGGGACCTCCCCAGTGGCGCAGCGGGCTGAGCGCAGCTCTGCGAAGCTGCCCACAGCCCTGAAGGCACAGGCTCGATTCCCGGCCCCCCAGCCATGCCCTCGGCCATGGGGGGGCTGAGCGCAGCTCTGCCAAGAGGTGGACCTCCCTGCTGGCTCAGCATGCCGAGCACAGCCTCGCGAAGCAGCCAACAGCCTTGGTGGCACAGGCTTGATCCCTGGCCCCTCAGCTGTGTTTTCTGCCCGCTCTGCTCCCCACTGCCCCTGGTGAATTCCCTCACCTCCCCGCCCCTGGCCTGAACCCCAGCTCTTGTATGCATAAATCTTTTTTAAAAATGCAGGGGCCTGGGCCTCCCCTCGTGGCGCAGTGGTTGAGCACTGCCCGCAGCCTCTGCAGCGCCAGTTCGATCCTGGGCCACCGGCGAGGGTCCCACAAAAAAATGCAGGGGCCAGATTTGAATTGGAAACTTGGCAGTATTTGGAGGCGTCCTGAATGACAGCCTCTGAGAATGGTTGAATAAGAGAAGCCTAAAGAAACAACCAAGAGGGGCCTCTCCGGTGGTGCAGTGGGTTGAGCACAGTGCTGTGAAGCTGCCTGCAGCCTTAGCAATGCAGGCTCGATTCCTGGAGCTGCCAGACCTCTCCTACTCTTGCCTGCTGCTCCCCCTCAGCAGTGCTTTGTGGTCTGTCTGCCTGTCTCATGGTGAATTCTCTCACCCTCCCGTGCCTCTGGCCCATAACCCCAGCTCTCGCATAAACAAAAAAAGAAACAACCATGAGGTGGCAAAATGGAGTCTTCAAAGAAGCCTCAGAATGAACTGACAGAATATTCACAGTTCAAGTGTCCCCAACACCAGGGACACTTGAAGGATTTTCAAGAAAGTATTAAATGCCCAAAAATAGATGACTGGATCAAGATGTGGTATATATACACAATGGAATATTATCCAGCAATCAAAAAAGATAAACTCATGCCATTCACAGCAACATGGACAGAGCTAGAAGGAATGATGCTCAGTGAAATAAGCCAGAAGGAAAAAGAAAAATATTGATGGCTTCACTTATAGCAGGAATATAGGGGAACCAAATAAGACTCAGTGTAAAAAAATAACAGTACAAAACACAACAAAGCAAAAACAGACAATTATAAATCAGACATACTGCAGGCGAGGAGGAGGGAAAGGGATCAGAGGTAGGGAGGAGCACAGGGGTGATGGTGCACAGGTACCTTGGCAAAAAAATTCTATGGGGACTCAATCTGAGGGAGTAGGGGGAAGCAAATATTGTTTAAATAAAAATAAATGCCACCAAAGAAAGAATTAGGAAGACTAAAAATATTGTTTCAGTATTTGAGTTAGGGAAAGGCTTTCCATGAAGAGGGAACAGAGACAAAGTGTGAAAAAGTACTGCATGTTAATACATGTAGTGGAGCATTTAAGAGAAACAATATTGGAAAGGAAGTGGTAAACATGAAATTCACAGAAAGATATGGATTTAGAAAAGGAATAGTGGCAATAAGGTTTTTTTTGGAATTCCATGAGTATTTTTCCCAAACTCACAGGTTAATTATTTTATATATCGGAGTATTAACATTCTCAGGTCTGATTTCTCAAGGTCATACATTAGTAACAGTGATACTGGCTTTAATGGCAATTCTTTACGAATCCTGGGGTCCTGAGATCTTGTACTGATGGCTCCAGGCTCTGGAGAATATGGATTGAAGAAGATGATTATTGATCTGGAAAGGCTGCAGTGAAGTTACACAAGATGGATTTTGTGTGCTTATCCTAAAAAAAAATGAAAATAGGATGAGCAAATACATGGAGATTGAAAATAAGTATTTAATGAGAAAATTTTCTATACTAAAATTTATCATTCCAGCATGCTAGTTAGTAAAATTTTAATTTTTGCCAGTTTTTCTCCAGAGGAACGATAGTCACTTGATGTTTTGTTTTATTTTAGCTCTTCCACAATATTCTTCTTTGGAATGGACTCCTCCCAGATGACACCTTGCAGGAACTAGGGCTAGAGAGGCTGCTAAATCGTTACCTTATTATAGCTCTTCGTAATGCCATACCTGGACCAGATGTTGTTAAAAAGTGCAACCAGGTAAGTTGTGTAGGAACTGATTAAAATGATTTTCTTTAATTCATCTTTTAACATCTATTTTGTAGCAGAAATTAAAACTGTAGCATTCATATTTCAGACTAAAAATCCAGAAGCAGCCCTCAGAATTTGAAAATGAATATAATGGTTTGAACTATCAGTAGAGAAAGGAAAACTCATTTAACCAGTTGGTCCAGCAACATTTAACTGCTTACCAAATAAATGAATGTTAGATCCTTACCTCTTACTAAACCTGTAAGTAAAAGAAGTATAAAAAATGAACCCATAAAATATTGCACTAAGATAAATGAGAGTAAGGGTGTCCTTTCTGAACTTAAAAGATTTGACAAAAATATAAAACTTGAGTGGATTAAAAAAAAATTAACCAAAAAGTTATGAAAATAACTTGCTATTAAAAGTGGAGGATGGGTTTGTTGGGTTTACTAAACCTAATTATTTCTTATATTTGAAATTTCCTATAATAAAAAGAAACAAATTAGAAGATTTTTACAAGTCAGCAGCTCTTTCTACCCGTTTGTATTTGTACCAGTGTCCTTTATATTTAGTTTTATCCAGAACAGGTTTATTATAAAAGAGAAAGAAAAAAATGCTTTTTACAAGTCATTTAACTATTTAAATATTCCATTTGAAACTGGTCAAAGATATGCAACAGGTAAGACACCAAAACGGGGTTAACAGTATTATCAGAGAAATGCAAATTTTACAGTAAGGATATTTGACCTTTGAGATTTTTTGTTATTATTTACATTATAATTCCCAATGTTATGACCATTCACCTAGCGTGTTTAGCAGAGATTCTGAGAAATAGTATATGTGCTGGTTGAAGGATACAACCGTCCTCCTTACAAAATAAGACATTTTGGCATGATGGATAAAAAAAAAACTTTAAAGTTTATATACTTAGGATAAATTCTAAAATTGCTAAGTTAGAAATCAGAAATACACAGATTTTAACTACAGAGAATATTACTATAGTGTAATAGAAATTAATAGGAAACAACCTTTCCAAAACCATTGTCTATCCTTAAGCTAAAGGTCATGTTGGACTTTTATGTGGGAGAATATTTACTTTATATATTGAAATACATTTACATATATTGAAATATATTTCAGTTTACAGACACACACCCCTGGTCTATTGTGCACAAGTAGAGGGGGAGATACATGACACTCTCCACAGCTCGTGGCTAGCAAACCAGGCCAAGACAATGCAGTGTGACCTTAAGAAGTCCTGGGATATGGTAAAGCTAGTTGGTTTCCTGAATGTTAAGACCTGTGATACAAAACAAGGGGAAAACAAGTACAAATGATATTAAATTCCAAGCCAGTAAGGACTGACTTTAAGACTTTAAAAAAGATACAGGCAATTAATGGATCTGCATTTTTCTGAATAATTGGAAAAGATGATTATTGCAAATAGGATAAATCTTTTCTCTTCAACTGTGTTTTCAGTACTGACCAGTGAGAGAGATTTTATATATGTGGTGCATTTTCAACTTTCAACACTCTGTACTTGATTTTACCAACCATAGCATAGCCTGTGTCTAAATTTTCTTTCCTTGATTTCAACCAAAACTTTCAGTCCAGGTCATGTATTACCTTAACATGCTAAGTAGGCATTTGTGGTGTTCTGTTGTGTATGTGTTGTACTGCTTTAATGGCTCAGGAATAGAGTATTTATAAAGACTATTCTATTTTAAACTCTTGGCATGTGTTGTTTTTTTTTTTTTTAAACTAACACTTGACAAAGAGAAAATTTTCAAACTTTATTTAACCATTTATGGGAGATAAAAAACAGCCTGCATGGTATCACTGTGAGGGTTAAATAAGATTATGTTGTCAAAAGTCCTGAGATAATAACTGTCATCATTAAAAATCAACCATGTGTTTTGATTAACAGGTAGCAGCATATTTACCAGAAAAATGGTTTGAAAATTCTTCCATGAAAACATCTATTCCCCAGCTAGAAAATTTCATCCAGTTTTTATTGCAGTCTGCACATAAATTATCTAAAAGTGAATTCAGGTAATGCATTTTTTTTATGTGTACCTCTAAACATCATTCAAGGAGTCTATTAGTGTTTAAAAGGCTGTGCTTTTACTCTATTCTTAAAAATCTGTTAAGATTATTACTGTTAATAGACATTTGCATGTGTACCTTTGGAATCACTACTTTGTACTTACCTCATTTTATTTCGTATTTTTCCTTTTTCTTAATCTTACATATTTTTTACATCATTTTTCATCTTTGCACAATGTATGCATTTTCATCCTGGCTACAGTCCCCATACAACTCCCACCCCCCTTGTTTCAGTCCCACTCTCTCCTCCCCCACTGCAATGTGTCTCTGGTTTATAGCTGCTTGTTGATATTGATTTTTACTTTATTATAATTAGTCTTTTCCTTGTCCCTTATTTAGGTTTTCTAAATTCCTGCTATGAGTGAGACCATCCGGTATTTTTCTTTTTCTTTCTGGCTTATTTCACTGAGCATGATCCCTTCCAGCTCCATCAATGTTGAGTTTATCTTTTTTGATTGCTGAGTAATATTCCTTGGTGTATATGTACCATATCATCTTGATCCAGTCATCTATTTTTGGGCATTTGGGTTGTTTCCATAGCTTAGCTACTGTAAATAGTGCTGCTGTATAGGGGTACAGGTGCCCTTTTGAATTAATGTTTCTGTGTCCTTTGGGTAAATACCTAGGAGGGGAATTGCTGGATCATATGGAAGCTCCATCTTTAGCAAGTTGAGGAATCTCCACACAGTTGTCCATAGTGGTTGAACCAGTTTGCTCTCCCACCAGCAGAGCAGGAGAGTTCCTTTTTCTCCACATCCTTGCCAACATTTGTTGTTGCTAGTTTTTTAATATGTGCCATTCTCACTGGTATAAGATTGAAAAACAGTTACATTGAAAAAATATCTTACACTGGTGTAAGATAGTTCATATTTTTTCAATATAAATGTTTTCCAAAGTAAGTACTTACAGAAAAGTATATAGCACAGAGGAAATCCATTTTTTAAAGTCAGCACTTATTAATGTTGCCGGTTATCACTGGCTCTTGTACATAGTGTGCAGCAGAGAGTCCAATACTGGACACCAAGTGTTTGAAGCAGGGAAAAAATTTAATATGTGAAAGCACCTACTAGGATGGTAGGAGGCAGTCCTTAGAGCCATCACTCCCATCCAGGGACTATGGGGTTTCTCGTAGGGAAGTTTACATGCTAAAAAGCAGGGAATCATTTGGGGGAGGGAGTTGGTGGATTTATAGACACCTAGCAGCAATGACTAGGGAAAAGCTTGCTGAAGAACAAATTAGGTTTTATTTGACAGCTGTGCGTTCTTTGTTCTGCAAACAGAGAGGTAAGGTTTATGTAAGTCTATCTAGAGGATTAATAATGGTCTGAAGCTAGATGAGTGATATGTTAATATTGGGCTGGGCTTCATTAATACAGATCTGCAGCCCACCGTCTACCCAGTAGGAGGTACCCTGTCTACCCTGATTTGGAGGTGTCATTTACAGTACTAGATGTTTAACAGCTTAAGTACAGTGGTGGTCTGGTAAACCAAGTGTCCCAAAAATTAAATTCAGATAAGGTGTGTGGGAACAAATTCTCCCACCAAACTAGTCTATGCAAGCTGTTAGCAACACAGTACAACACAGATTTGCTGCTTTTTATAATCATTCACTTTAAAATTTGCCAGAATACATCAACTAAAAGTCTGTATTTAAACATGTTATGCTATTTCTGACATTGGCTTAATTTTTTTTTTTTTTTTTCAGTTCAAATGATGATTCACTGATCGGAATCACTGAATTTTTGTTTTTAAGAAATGGGCTGGGAAATTTTACCATGTACTACATAGCATTTTTAAGTGTGAAAAAAAATTTTGTTTTTTAGGGATGAAGTCAAGGAAATAATTCTTATTCTGGTTAAAATAAAAGCTCTGAATCAAGCAGAATCCTTCATTGAAGAATATCACCTAGACCATCTTAAGTCAGTATTCGTGGGCATTTGAATAAACTATAGGAAGAAATTGTAAAATGAGATATTTCATACCTTGCTTAGGGCAAATAAAAAAAATTGCCCTTCCACTCTACTATCTGATTCTACGGTGTTGTAAGAATTAAGCATACAGATACAGTAGGAGCTTTATGTATTTCCTGTTTGATTCTTTGGACTTCCACTTTTTAAGTCATGGAAAAATCTTATTGCTCTTTGGGTTTACGTAGGTCTTCAATCCTGAACCAAAAATGCATCTTTTCCAAGTAAGTTAATTTATTCCAATGAAGATTTCTATTTTAAGTCTTTTGATAATTATGAAATTGTCCTTGATAAATCTATACCAGTGCTTTGTACCAACACCCAAGTGTGAGAGGTCCATGAAACCACCAAATGAGATATTTTTGCATTTTGTACAAATTTTATATTTTTGATATTTGTGAGGTAGTTACTATTGTAACAGATTTTGTCATTGGTTAGTAGTCAGAAAGTAGGATTTTAAATATTTGGATGTGATTTATTTTGTGATAAAAATTTTCAAGGTGAGAGTTATTTTTCTGGTATATTTATATTCAGTGTTGGCACAATGTATGAGATAGAATTTAGAGTATGACCAAAGTATTGTGTCACTGGTAGTTTTAATCTTTTTTTCCTTATGTCGTTATATTTCCCTTGTGTTCTCCTCCCCTCTTTTCCTGTATGTGTCAGATATATGGTCAGCTCGCTAGTTTTAACTTTTACATGACCTGTTGATTTCTCTGTCGTTTTAAATATGTAGGAATAGTGTGTTATATCGATGAAAAATACTTTCACAGCAAAAAGCTTGTAATATGACATCTAAAGCACAAGTAACAAAGAAAAAGTTGACTATGTTAACTAAACCGTGTCCATTTATAAATAGTTTGTGTTGGACTCATTTATTCTTATTGTTGGTAGAGATGTTATGGAATACAGAGAGAGGAGTTTCCTTGCCTCCCTAAAAGAGAAACACGGTTATCATCTTTTACTCATCTGTGAAAAAACACACACATAAAAATCTTTAAGTGAATAAAACTGTTACGAGAGAGAACAAGTGATAGAGAAGGGAGGCAGAGGTACTTTGGTGGAGGGTACTTATGCAAGAAAGAGCAATAATTTAACCAATGTAGTTTTGTTGTTTTTTTAACTCTACAAAAATGAGACAGGCTGTTCATGATTTGGAAGACTCCAATTTTGGTTAAGGTATATTCTCTCTAAAACTATCTATAGTTAATGCAATTCCTACTGAAATGCCCTCAGACTTTTGTTTTTCCAAGAGATTGGTTGATTAAAATATGAGGTTACAATTTACATGGAAGTGCAGAGACCTGCAACTAGCCAAAACCATTTGTAAGGAAGAACTGCTCTATCATAATCAGGACTATTAAGCTACAGTACTCAATATATTAAAATGCATTAATATATTTGCAATAGTATCAAAAATCCAGAAATAACACTACGCATATATAATTTTTGACCAACTTCTCATGTTCATTCAGTGAGAAAAGGGCAATCTAGTTCTCAGAGTAACAATTAGATGCTATAGGAAATAAAATGACTTTAGCCCTTATTTTCCACACACACTGAAAATAAAAAGGATTATAGATTTAAATTAGGAAAATTAGAGGCACTTACTCAGTCACAGGCAGGCAGGAGAGCTGCCAACATAAAACTTTTAAATGCAACAAAAACTTTTAGAAAAAAATCACCTTGGTAAAAGAGGGCTAGGACACAAAAAGCATTAACCAGAGAAAAAGGTTAAATTTTTATCAAAATTCCATATGTGAAAGTATTCAGTATCGTAGGTCCCTCTGGGAAGTACAAATTAAAACCACAATGATCTACCACCTCAGTGTCACTACAATCACTGGAATAGACTAACATCAACCAACGCTGCTGTGACTGTGAAGCTACAGGAAAACTCAAATTGTTTTATAAAACAATCACTTTGAAAAAATTTTCATCAGTTTCTTATTAAACATTCGCTTATCAAATAACAACCAACAATTTCACTCCTAGAAAAATCCAAGAAAATAAAAATATTTTCACAGAAAAAAGCTTGTAATATGACATCTAAAGCACAAGCAGCAAAGACGAAGTAGACTATGTGAAACTAAAAAGCTGCACAGCAAGAAAAAAGCCCATAGATGGGAAAAAAATATTTACAAACCATATATCTGATAATAGGGTTAATATCTAAAATATAAAAAGAACTCTTACAACTTAATGGCAAAAAACTCCAATTAAAAGGTAGGCAACGGGGGTGAAAAATTACAGGACCATCCCAGTGCTGTGGAGGAAGCAATCCTGGGTAATGCTTTTCTTCTCAGGGTAGCCCCTGGCAGTACTGCCAGCTCTCAGCACTCCACAAAGGGTTCCCTTTTTACCTCCATACACACACACGCACATACCACACGGTGTTCAGAATGGGATACAGTGCCAACCAAGTTTATGTCACATACCATTTTTGTGTGCACTGTGTCCACAAACATCTAGTTCCTAAGGGTGCAACCTACAGCAAACCTGTCCGGCATGGTGTTACCCAGTTGAAGCTTGCTTAAACCCTTCAGTCAGTCATGGGGCTTCGAAAGTCCTGAATTCTTACTGGGTTGGTGAGGTTACATGTACCAATTCTTTGGGATTATCCTCACTGATAAGCTCTCCAAAGCTATCAGAAGAAATCTTGACACCCAGTGGACCACCAAACCAGTCCAAAATCGCCACAGGGCAATGCAAGGGCTGACATCTACAGGGCACAAGAATCATGCCCTTAGGAAGAGCTACAAATTTCATCACACTATTGGCTCTCACAGGGCAGCATGGAGAAAGCATTTTCCATCTGCATCTCCATCATTACTGCTAATGAGTAATGTCTGTAAACTTAACAAACCAATACTTTTGGGCATTGTACTAAAAGACCTAAATAGACATTTTTCTAAAGAATGTATTTGATTGAAAAGTCAACAGATACATGACAAGGTGCTAAACATAACTAGTCATTGGGGAAATGCAAAATATTGATACAACAAAAAAAATGTCTGCATACCTTTAGAATGGCCATCAAAAAAAAAAAAAAAACAAGAACCCAAAAGCAAACACTGTAAACCAACACTACTGCAATTAAAGATATAACAAATGCAAGTGATGAGGAAATCTTGTGCACTCTTGGTTGGATTATAAAATGGTACAGCTACTGTTGAAAACTGTAAGGAGAACCCACAAAAAATTAAAACTACCATATGACTGTATATCCTAACAATTCCACTTTGATCTCAAAAACTATCTGCACTCCATGGTCACAACATTACTTAAAACAGCCAAATCATAAGGACCTAACAATCCATCCTCAATAGATGAAGAAGTAATCCTGCTGTCTACAACAACATAACGGTACTGTGAAAGCATTATGTGAAGTGAATCAAGACAGAAAAACAAATGCTGTGTGTGAACTTGCTTCTATGTTGACTATAAGAAAAAAGTACAGACTTATGGGTAACAGGCAAATGATAGGAAGGGCAGTTAGAGGATAATCAAGAGAAACAAACAGAAGTACTAGGGATGTGATGTACATGACTAGAGTTGACAATGCTGTGTGATACACAGGAAAGTTGTTAAGAGTAAATCCTAAGACTTATCACAAGAAACAGTTTTTTGTATTTTTTTCTTTTCATTAGATCATATAAGATGGGTGTTAGCTGAACCTATTGTAAACATTTCACAGTATATGTAAATCAGACAACATGCTGCGCGTCTGAAACTTATAATTGTAGCAGATTCTTAATAAAACTGGAAAAATTTTACAACAAAAACCTTGTACAAAGGTGTTGCTAGGAGCCTTACTAATAATAGCCTAAAAAGAGAATGGATAAACTTGTATAAATACATGTATTTACACAATGGAAGACTACTTAGTATTAGAAATGAACTAATGCATACAATAATTAAATCTCAAAAATATTAAATGAAAGATGTTGGAAGAACACACATCCTATTTGATTCAATGTTTATTGACTATAAGAATGGACATAGGAAATGACAAAGGAAACTACCAATGAAAATGCTCTATCTACTGACTTTATGGTGGGTACATGGGTGTCTTCATTAGTTAATATCACTGAACAGAAAAACCTAAGATCTGTGTATTTAATGTTAGTTATATAAGTAACAAGCCTTAAAACTCAGACAAGTGTCTGAATAGTGATCTCTCCCTGACAGTGTTACCACTGGGTTGAGCACCACCAAAGACTATACAAACTACCCTTCATGATAGGAAAACTGATAGGGATATCCAGGGTTTTTGTTTTTAACATACACAGCCCATTAAACCAGTGGTATTTTCTTCCCAAACCTAAATCTTCCATTAAGAATAGTGCCCTAGAATCACTGCCCTGGATTTCATGTTAGGGATTCAGTATGATCTGTTAACCAGAAATATCCCAGGAACATTCTATTCTGTAAAAGAATCATAAGTAGTCATTTATGTTGCTAGTATTAAACATTCACATCTCAAGTAGTCCAGAAAAATGTGAATTAATACATATTTTAAGGCTTCTTATTAAATGTCAAAATAGCACTAGGTTGACTATTCATTAGAATATTTTCATGTAAACAGTTGTATGACAAAATAAAATGCTTACAGACCCACAGTTCCCAAAGTGAGCTGAGATATCCCGGGACACTGGTGTGACCTCATAGAGGTACTGTGGGACATTTTAAATTTTCAAGGGAGACAGGTATACTGACCTGTCAGGAATTCAGAGATCAAGTTTGTTCACATTCGACATCAGATCATTACTTCAGAAGACACGTATTTTTGAATTTGGGTTTTCAGAGATTCCAATGATATGAATCAAGTACCACATGAAATTCTACACAAAACAGGAAATGAGTGGTGGTGTCCTTCTGATTCTAAAGTTTGATAAGTTGCATAGTTAGCAGCAGATACACACACCCCCATTAGAAATACTTATTTAATGATGCAATAAAATTTGTGTTGTTTAAAATATTTGGATCTAAATGGTTAATAAATGACTCTGTGTTCTAAAAAGTCTAAAAATAAAGTCACTAGGAAGTGGGAACATTAGAACAATTTTGGCTTCTTATTCATTTTAAAATGCAGAACATTCCTAGACACAGTTTGACTTCCTTAGGTTGAAGTCACAAAAGAATATATAGGGAAGCCACTTTCCTTTTGTGCTGATTTATTTTCAGGTTCACTTCTGGAATTAAATATCAAAATGCTATTGCAGATAATTAAAGTCCATAAATATCTGCCTGGTACGGTCCCTGCCATTATGGTTTGCTAGAACTAATTTAGTGCTTGCAGTGCTGAAATTGAGGAAGACCTTGGAAACTAGAACAAGCTGATCTATTACCTTAACTGAAAACAGTACCCAGCCATTTTGGTCGGGTGCCTAATTTAGAGTAAAAAAAACCTGTGGAGTCGTTGTCAAAACCAGCCTTCCATTATAATCACATGTGGAGCTTTTTAAAACGCTAATACCCACCCTTACCTTCCCACTCTATTGAGATAGTCTGGAGACTTTTCCAAAAACTGGTTTCAAAAGAATTCTGACTCAAACATTTCTGAGTATAAACATTAGCATCACCACCTGCGTTCTGTGCCACTTCAGTCCAGCTGTTTACCTCTCCAAAGCCGTTTGTAAATAGAGGAAAAGCACCAACCTCACAAGATTTTTGTGACTATTAAGACACAAGAAGTGCCTTGCACAGTGTCTGGAACATAGGAACTCTTAAGGGGGCATCGAGTACGCCACCTCCGAAAATTGAAAATTTAAACGATTTCCCCACTAGAAAATAAAATGAAACACACTGCACTCAGCACCTAAAGCCTAGTGCCACTCCCCATGACCGGGGAACCCTTCGCCCATCCGCCCGCTCCTTTCCTTTCCCCGCTAGTCGACACCATTTTACTCGGTTTTCTTACGTCGCTTGGCGTTGTGCAGTGGTCAACCAAATGAAAGTAGTAATTTCTGGAATCTTTTGTAGAACTGAGAGTTCGAAAGTTATATTATTTTTCTATTTCTATTTTGTAAGCTAATAATTGTCCTATCACAACACTGAAGGGTAATTTCAAACCAGCACACATTAGCAAAAAATGACGCAGTAGGCAAATTCAAGATCTTGTTCTCCCACAGAAACACTGAAAAACCACCAGGAATGGTCACAACCAACTCACTCAGAACTCAGGAAAACAACTAAAAGTTCAGAGCAACCAAACACCGACTCCAGAAAAAGCGAAATTGAAAAGCGAATGAAATCACCAGGACGGCAACATAGGTCGTTGCTAGCTTCTCTCCTCCTCACAACAAACTACTCCTGTGAAGACACCACTGAGAAAATTCTAGAACACGGTGGAGCACGCTCGCGCCGCAGGAACCAACCGACCACGTTAGACGCGTGTGAGGAGCCGCACCACCCCGGTCGCCCCGCTCCCCCAACCCGGGGCGCGCACGCCGGTCCCCCGGCCGGGGGCCTCTCCAGCAGGAAGCGCGCACAGGCGAGCCCCAGCAGCGGTCCCCGCCACCCCTCCAGCACCCCGCTACTCCCCCCAACCCCCCGCCAGCATACAGGTCACTCCCAGCTCGCCCCGCGGGGAAAGCCCGGTGAGAACGCCCGCCGCGTAGCCCCGCGACGCCGCACCTGAGCAGACTCCTGTCCGCAGAGCAAAGCGCATCCAGCCAGGGGGACTCGGGGTGCAGGTCGGCCGGACACATGCTTACAAAGAGCCTTCGGGACCAGGAGCTGGGCCCCCACTAGGCCCAGGTCCGGACGCTAACTCAGCCCCGCCCACTGGCCGCGCTGCGCGGCCCTTCCCACCGCCCTAACCCGCACACCTGCGCCCGGGGGCGGCCTTCCGACCCCCCGGGGAGCCGAGCGCGTAGCCCCGCCCACCCCGGGGCCGCCCAGACTGGGAACACCTGGGAAGCGGTGGGGCGGTCGCTTTCCTACTCCGCGCGGGCAGAGGGGAGCTAATTCACAGCTTCCCCACCACCAGAAAGTCCGGGGGTACGTTTGGAAAATTGCTGGAACAGAGACTAGAGACGGGGTGGCCATCTGCAAAGGAAAGACAATTCTTCCTTTTTTGCGAGGGAACTTGGGGCAGTGTTAACCCAAGACCACAAGAGCCTTTTTTGACCTTGGATTTGGTTTTTGGTTCTGCCCAGCTGGGAAGGTGATTCACAGTGGTCCCACCCGTGGTGAATACAGCCTCCACCAGCACAACCAGGGAAACTGGCCAAAGCGCAGGAAAGGAAGCCATCTAGCCCACCCACGAATCCTGCACAGATAGTGACTTACCCTGTCTGCAGAGCAAAACTGGTGCCTCTTTTCTGGCCAGGAAATTCAGTGCATCGCCTTCCCTGAGTTGGGTTCCCAACAAATGAGCCTTGAAGCTGATTCATAGCCCTGTCTACTGCCGAGAGTAACAACCACATCCAACTGCTGAGTGAGCCTCACCCCAGAGCCCAGTCAGTCATGGACCCTATCTTCTAGCCTCACTTGGGCAGGAAACAAGGCGGTGCTACCCAGCTTTTCCCAGCCAATGCGCCTCCACACCCCACTACAGAGCTCAGGCAAAGAAGAGTTAAGAATGAATTAAAGATCTAAAAAACTAAAGAAATTGGGGGTAGAGGTGACTAAGAAAATACAGATTCAGTTCTGGAGAGTCAAAATCAAAATAAGTCTCAGAAAGAAAAGCAGAGGAGAGAAAATCATCAGCAACCACTAAGTTTCTCAGAACTGAAAAGTCCAAGTTACCATGCTGAAGGGGATCCTCAAAAACCCAACAGAAGAGATAAGAATAGACCCACCAACCAAGGCACATCACTGTGCAATTTCCTAAACCTCAGCTTTCAAGTCACATAAAATGAGCAGGCATCAAAATGATTTTGGATTTTTCAAGACAACACTGGAAACAAGACACCAGAGCCATACACACCTTCAAAATTCTGAAGGAAAATTATTTACTACCTAGAATTCTATAAAATAGCAATCAAATGATACTCAAGGCCTCAAGCAATTTACTTCCACCCATCCTTCCTTTAGAAGCTACCAAAAGATGTGCCCCACCAAAACCCAATAAAATGGAAAATAGAATGCAGAAAACACGGTAAGAGAGGAGTGAATTCAAATGTCCAAACAGCTAGATACAAGAGGGTAGATTGGAGCAACATGATCAAGAGACAGACAGGTTGAGGAGCGCCCTCATCAAAAGCTAGGCTAGTACTGTACTCTTTTTAATATAAGAACAGCATACCCAGGGAGCCAAATTATCTAGAGGCTGGTCTTTACCAAGTGAATACATGCCAGCTCTTCAGTCTATTCTCAGCTACATGGATCAGAGAGGACACTCACCTCACCCTCTGGAAGTGCTGTTTTGAACAACTCCTCCAAGAGGGAGTTTGATTCATTATGAGCAGAGAACCAGAAATTAGAGGCAACTCCCTTGGCCACACTTCTGTCAGACATCAATTACCCAGCCAGCCCACGTGATAACCCTGCCGGAGAGTGCCCGTGTGAGCCTGTCTAGCAGCACTCACTCGTGACCCTAGCCATGAACTCCCTCAAAAGTGATTTCAGTGAACAATCGGGGAAGCCAAAATGAAACTATGACCCAAAGGCTTTGTTATGCTCTCCCTGATGTCTTCATGTAATAATGACAATGTTGTCCTCCTGTACCTGCCAACAGAATTTTCAAGACTAGATGTATTGTTTAAGAATGTGTGTGTATGTACCAAATTAAAAAAAAAAATGTAAGGGAGTGATTAACACACAGTCAAGTCAGGCCTACAAATGGGAAGGAGAGGGAAGCAAGTGGGACACACGGCGTCTTCTGGATGCTAGTGCGTGTTCTATTTCTTGCCCTTCTTAGATATTATTAGATGTTTTACTTCTAAACCTGGTGTAGGTACATGAATAGTGATTTCATTATTACTCTTTAAATCATACTTTTCTGTATTTATGATTTCGCAGATTTTAAAAAAGGCAACCTTACCAATGTCCTTGTTCAGATTCCAGAGAAAGCTGCTAAGTTTGACTAGACTGCAGCTTGGTCTCCTGTAAGAGAATGGATACTCAACCACTGAGCATGTATATTTTTCTTTTTAAAGTAACAAACTTGTGCTAATTTCACTTTTGTGTGTGTTGGGGGGGGGGACCCTCAGCGGTGGCGGGGGAACGAACTAGCACTGCAGAGGCTGTGGGCAGCCTCGCAGGCCAGCGCTCAACCGTTGCACCACCAGGGGAGGCCCCTAATTTCACTTTTTAAGAAAAGTTCTAACAAAATAAAGAATGCTTAGCTGATTTAATGACTGTCTTTATACATGAAGTTAAATTGGTGTCTAAATAAACCTGAGAGTCAATACATCCTCGGCAAGTAACCAAGTTCATCCTCAGAATCAGGACTTCTTTGATGCTTCAATTTCATCCCATATCACAGCTTCAATTTTTGAAGTGTCATATTCCCTCATCATATCAAACTCAATCCATGGCTGATTCCACTTCTGAGCTTCTTTCATTTGTTCTTCGGTTAAAGAAAGATCAAACCTGATTCCTTTAATATTAAATTTTGGACGTTCCCAGCGTTTGGACCAGGGCTTTGGTTTCATTTTTACTTTCAGCTAGGGAAGACATTAAAAAAAGGAATAAATTAGGCTAGTAGTTATAAGCAAATATTCTTCCAAGAGTTTTCATTAAGATGATTCTTATTTCATATTTACATTGACGGTTCCAAATGTACAACACATACCTGATTAACAGGAACTTCTTGGCTAGATTCTTCTGCCACAGGCTTCATATTGACATCAAAAGTGCTGTATTCTGGAAGGGCATCTCGTAAGTATAACAAGTTATCATCCAATCGTTTCTCTAATTTAACTACTTGGATCTCCTGGATTCGAGGATTATAAAGATCAAAGCAAATCTCAACTCCTAAAAAAAGAAGAAGAAAATATTTCTTACCATCTACATCGAGATTGCTATGTATGTTTTATATTGTAGTAACCTCATAAAGGAACCAGCATAGCATTTTGTGACACAAATTTGAAATCTTTAAAATGAAGTTTACGAAAATAGAATTAAACTAAAATTTACATATTTGTAAATCTAATGTTTATAGATATAAAAATCAGAAAATCTGAATCACAATGATAAAGTCTAAAGAAAAACCCATCTATATTGGGTCCTATCTCTCTTCAATTTTAATAGCATTAGCTCACGGAGAAAATTTGGTTTCTGTCAGTTCTGGATTATTACATAACTACTTAAATAAAACTAAGATCAACCAAGATTAATAATGCAAAAAGAGTAAGTGAAATTTGAACTTTTAGCTATGGTACAGAAGTCCTCTTAATGATGGCCTAGATATTTTTTTTTTTTTTAAACACTCTAGAGCCCTCCATAAGAAACAAGCAAGTATTAAAAGATAAAATGAAATATTTTTCTTTTTTTAATAAATTGAACAAATTTGTTCAAATTTAATAATTTAATCATTTGAATTGGCAGCATCCAATCTTGTAGATAGGAAGGACCTCCAAGAAGCTATAAAAACTTGAAGACTATTCTAGGAAGAGGAGAATGGAGGCAAAGAAGTTATACTAAGCAAAAAAAGCAGATGGTCAGAGCAAAATTACTTTTCCAGAGGGGATACTAAGGGTCAAACAGGTGGATTACTTAACTGGTGCTGATTAGGAATCTTCCAATTGACTCATTTAAGGTTTCATTTCTGGGAGAGACAAAACTGTAATTAAGTTGTCTCAGTTTGGTGACACAGGGCTTAACATAAGTGACTCCATTTGGGTCCTGCTGTCTTGTTTTTTAATACTAGTAACACCTTTTGGTGTTTCCAAGATGCTACATACAAGTAATAAGCTATAAACATCTGTATCATTAAACACTTAAGGTAAGAGCATATTCTGAGGTTTCCTGGAAATATTCCAAGAAAAACACAAAAATGAAAATATATGATCAACATTAATATCTATTGTATAGTATCAGGATTCAATCTAATATTCACTGCACACCTATTCTGTTCCAGGCACTGAATTAGGAGCTGTGCCCATAGCAAAACCAAAATAGGCAAGCACCTTCTCCTCTCATAAAGTTAACAGTCTAAAGGATGACAAATAATATATAAACCAACAAGATAATTTCATAAAGACAATACAAAGTGATGACATTATCACTGAGAAGGGAGCAACTTTAAATACTTGGAGAAAGGATGACACTTAAGCTCACACTACAAAGGGCCAAGAATACTCTGAACAAAAAGAACAGCAAAGTGGTCCTAACAAAGTTGCCATGCTGGGGAAAACAGAAAATGGCCCATTTGGCTGGAGCATAGTAATTTGGTGAGCCCAGGTACACTGAGATCCCACAAGGCCACAGGCAGAAGGCCCTGGTGGCAGAGACAGGAGAGACAGCAGTGGAGATGGAGAAAGAAACTAACTTGGGATATACTTTTTCAAGACTCAGCCAATCAAACTTGTTCACTGACTGGACAAGTGAAAGAGAATTAAAAGTAGCTCCTAAGCTTTTGGTTATGTAAGTGGATAGGGAATGGCACCATTTACAGAAATAGGGAAAAAACATGAGAAGAACATATTCTGAGGGAAAACAAGAGCTCCATTTTAACTTGTTTCATGCTTAATAAGACCCATAAATGGAGACATCACATAAGTAGTTGTTTATGCAAATCTGAAACTTGGAAAAGGTCAGTCCTTGAGACTTAAAGGTGGGAACTATCATCATACGGCTAGCATTTAAAGCCAATGCCTGTGAAGTAACAGGAGTACTGATGGGGAAGGTCAAGGCAGGTTCAGTCATAACATTGATAAACTGAAGAGAATGGCAAGGGGGAGCCGATACTTTTGTATATTCTATCTTCCTGCACTTCATGTACAAAATCTCAGTCAACTGACCACATCCCTGGGAAGCAGAAACTTTTTTTTTTTTTAAGATTTATTTATTTATTTATACAAGCACTGGGTACAGTCAGAAGCACGGGAGGGTGAGAGAACTCACCAGAGCCAGAGCAGGGAGCAGAGCAGGCAGAAGGACTGACGCACACTGCTGCGGGGAGCAGCGGGGAGCAGTGGGCAGCAGGAGAGGTCTACGTGCCATGTGGGACCCTCCTCCAGTGGCCGAACAGCAGCCGGGGATTGAACCGGCGCTGCAGAGGCTGCGGGCAGCTTCACAACCCAGCGCTCAACTACTGCGCCACCGGGGAGGTCCGAAGCAGAAACTATTATTGTCATCTCAAAAAAGAAATCAAGCCCAGGTGTCCATCTGACTCATTCATCTGCTCAAGTCTCTATTACAAGGTTTCCTCCAGGTCAAGACCTGACTGGAGGCACAAGTCTGTTAATAGCGTAGTCCTGTCAGCTCCCCCGTGCACAGAGCCACAGTCACTGAGGGGCAGAGAAGCAGCGACTGCTCACACGTTCAGTTTCTTTGACTATAACACGTCCCGCTTGGGGAACATGAGCACACAAACTTGAGCATGAAAACTTTACTGTTTTGATTTTTGATTTTGATTCATAATCTTTCTAGCATTTTACCCCTTGCTCCTCTGCCTGATGAGGCACACCAACATAATTTTATCCTTTCTAAAATGTTGACTTTTATAAAACTGATAATTGTGGCGACTGTAGCACATAAAGCAAAATGGGATGACTCAGCTTCGGAGAAAGTAACTCATGAGGACATCAGAGTGTTCATCGCAATGTTGTCATGGGTTATTTGCTCCTGAAACAAAGGTCCCTTCACTGCTTTATAGTCACCATGGTTTGGAAAGCCTACTTCTGATGGTAGCTGTCCCTGTGATAAAAGAAGGTTTCAAGAGAAAGCAATAAAATATCAACTACATTTAATCAGCAGCCTCAATTCTCATACCACTCTCAGGCCAAAGCCTCCACGCTAAGAAAAGAATCCTGAGATAACATTTTCCAGAAAATCAAAATAATGAAATGAAACCCACCTTGTCCTTCTATAGTATTTCTAAGGATAAAAGTGGCGCCAAGTCCTGACCCTGATCTTTGAATGCAAATCCCCAGAAACTGACTAGTTTTTCCACTGGCATATGGGTCGGCTGAAGTAACACGGAGAATGCTTCCTACAAATTAAAAAGAGAAACTTTTACATGAGATGCAAAAATAATCAATAGCAATTCTAGATAACTACATGTATTTTTATATACTAGGAATAATACTTCATGTAGGCAAAACCCAACTATGTGAAAAATAATCTTCTCTATGCCAACAAAACTAATTCTTCAGTCACTAATAATATAAGCATCCAGCTCTTACTGACCAACATAGAACTCTGGAATGTGGAGTACTTTTCTCCTTTCTAACATATCTTTTCTTTCTATTTGAAATTTCAGAGGATTTGTTCTTCCCCGTGGAGGAATGAATTCGGGACTCAAGAACCTGTGAAAAATATAAATAAAAAAGTTAAAAGCAAATTTAAAATACCACTGAAAGAGAAACTTGCTTTGCAAAAGGAAATATTAAAGATTATCAAATTTATGATTTTTATTCTTCCTTCTCTAAATAAGAAAAGTCAATCTCCAGGGGCACCTTCCATAGTGGCCTGGGGGTTAAGTCTCAGCACTATCACCATTGTTGCTTGAGTTTGATCCCAGCCAGATGACCCACATGGCAGAGCAGACCTCTCCTGTCTCGCCTGCTGCTCCCCTCAGCAGTGTAACTCAGTAGGTTAGCCTCTTCTGCTCCCCACTTTTTCTCTGGTGAATCCTCTCACCACCCCACCTCTGGCTTATACCCCAGTTCTCCTCTAAATAAATAATAATAATAAAAAAACTTAAAAAAAGAAGATTCAATCACCTTTCTAAAATTTTGTCAATGCTCATGAAAATAGCTAACAATTTCTGACTTATCTCCTGGCATGGTATGTAAAGCTTTACTACACATCTATAACATAAAGTAATTTTCACAACAAGGTAGGTTTGGTGTCATCATTTCCTTTTCACAGATGAAGAAATGAAGCTTGGAGAAGCTGACATATTACTACTGTATTAGTTATAACTTTAGCAAGTCAAGATTTAAATGTGGGCTTCAAGTTGAGTTGCACATGTCGTAATAAGTCAAAAAAAATATAAATATAGAAATCACCAATTACAAACTGACTTTTAAAATAACCTCCCTATTCCTTTCTTTAACTGATTTTATACTCATCATAAAACATTTAATAATCTATAGAAAAGCATAAAAACACTACAATGAAAATTCATGTCCCTACTCCCCCATCCAAAGAATAAATGATCGCTATAGTTGAAACCTTGAGCATCCCTCCCCAATCCCAGTTAATGACTGTCCTATATGTGGTAATGATTATGCCTATGAATTTCTTCCTTTTCCTCAATTTCCTACTTTGAAATTTTTCAAACCTACTAAAACTGTTATAGTAGAATAGTACTATAATGAACCCCCATATATACTTGATGCAGTTTCACCAATTAACAACATTTTGTCCCATTTGCTTTCTATATTTTTTCCTGAACCATCTGAAAATGTGAAACACAAAACATCTCACTCCCTAACATTTTAGAAGGCTACTGCTAAGAATAAGGGCTTCTTCCTACATTTGTTACAACACTATATATAAATATATAGTTCATATTTAATTGTATCTACTAATGCCCGGGGAAAAGGTTATCTTTTATAGATGTTTGTTGCCCAATCCAAGCTATACTCAGGCATCACACACTGTATTTGGTTATGTCTCTTTATTCTGTTCAACTAATGGTATTTTCCATCTTCCCATTTTTGTAACACTGACTTTTTGTTTGAGTCAAATGCTACTGTCTTAGTTAGACCAATCCTGGGTTGTAGATTTGTTTCCTGTTTCCACATGCCTAGACCAATATAAAACATCTTTGGTAAAAATATTACAGAAGTGATGGTGTGATCTTATTCTGTCATTTCAGGAGCAACATTATGTCAACTTGTACCAACTGGGAAAGCTAGGTTTGATTATTCTATGAAGTGGAGCATTTACTCCATATATTTTTTTACACTTTACACATGCAAGTATTGTCTGGGCAATATAAAAATGTAATCATACTATATCAATTCTTCTGCAGGATGTTTTCCCCAGGCATCATAATTGTGAAGTTTACTCATTTTAGCTCTGGAGCATTCATTTTTCACTGCCATATAGTATTGTGTTCTATGAATGTATTTCCCTATTCACCTACTGATGGAGAACTAGGCTACTCCTAAATTTTGGTTACAAACACTGCTTTTGTGTTCATTCTTGTACATGCATCCTTGTACAGATTGCTTTCTTTAAATTGTATTTCTTCTGGGTGGAAAGGTACACACAATCTTACTCAATTTTGTCAAATTGTTTTCCAAGTAGTTATACAATTTATATTCCCATTTAACTAAATTGTAGCGAATACTGCCATTTAAGAAATATACTCTTGGGGTCTCCCTGGTGGTGTAGGGATTAAGTCTCTGCTCTATCAAATTACCACTGCTGTGGCCTGAGTTAGATCCCAGACCAGGATGCTAATCTACATGGCTCAGCAGACCTCTCCTGTCTTGCCCACGGCACCTCTCAGCAGTGTAGTTCAGTAAATCTGCCTGTTCTGCTCTGCTCTGCATTCTGTCTCTGGTGAATCCTCTCAAACCATCCCCTCCACCCCACCTCTCCGCCCCCCTCACCTTCTCCCCTCCTCACTCTTCTGGCCTATACCCCAGTTCTTCTTTGCATAAATAAATAAATCTTTTTTAAAAATAAAAAAAGTACTCTTTTTCCAGGTTAAAAAGGAAATCTTTCCTGAATCTCTAGGTTCTATAAATTCAAGTTTATTTCAACATAATCTTTCAAATGTTAAATACATTCATGCAGAGAGAAACCAATCAACAACCAAGAGCACTTTCAGAAAGGCCTATAATCACACCCAGCTTTTCCCTTTAAAACTAAGTTCTTAATATGGTTGTTGTAAGGGTCCACAGAAACTTTCCGCAAGTCCTACTTACCTAAATTTACATGTACCTTCAAAGTTACAACCATTCATTTAAGTGAACCAAATTTTTAAGCAGTCTTGAAGCTCAATTTTCAGACGTACAAATGAGTGGAAATTGTTACTACTTTCTCTATTTGTCTGGACATTAAAATACGATGAGTTCTAACCAATCTATTTCCACTAGGCCGAGGAAAGATCGGATCCGAACGTAAACAAATAAAATACAATGTGCTTATGAAAAAACTTGCTGCAGGTCAAATGCCGTAGGAGTTTCACATCTGGAAGTCCCGATTTGAAGTTCTGACTTAAGGCAGCAGAGACAGTGCAAAGCCAGCTTGGGAGAAACGCGAAGACGACAAACCTGAGTTGGGTGCCCTTTCCTTTAGGACCGCTCAAGAAACCTGCTCTGGAGCCAAGAACTCTAAAGCCCGTAGAGCTTCACAAGCACATCGACCCAAAATGCAGGACTCGCGCCCGGCTTCGATCCTCACCTGCTTTCCCGGCGCTGGGACAAGCGCTTGTCCACGATAACCGGTTTCGGCGGCGGCTTAAACTCGCCGGGCTCGGAAGGTCCAGTGCTCTGCTGCCGGCCGAGAACCACGCGGGCCCCTGCGGGAGCGGACAACCATCAAGACGGCTCAGGCCTGAGGTGAGCGTCCTCGGAACCGTGCACCCTCCCCAACTCACGGCCCAACGAGGGGTCGCCCCGGGTCTCCAGACTCGCCAACCCAATCCCCGCCCTGAGCCTCTGCTGCTCCCTGACCCGCAAGCCCAGCTCCACTTACGGCTGGAGACAGAGACCCGCGCAGGCAGCAGCGCCCCGACGACTCGAAAGCTCCGAGCCAGGTCCTTTGCGGTCCCGCAGCCCCCTGCAATGGAAGCCGCCATGCCTGCTCGCTCAGGTCGAGACTACAACTCCCAGGGATCAGTGCGACGAAGCGGCGGCCACCTGCGGCTGGATGGCGGCTGTTAGAGGACAAAATAGCTAAACCCCCGACTTGGAAATCTCCGGTAAAGTGTGTGTTCTGCCCGGTGCCGGGTTACACCCTTCCGAGAGAGAATCCTAGGATAGCCTCTTCGAATTAAACTCTATCTTCACTTTCTTGAGCAAATCTTCATTATGGCAAAACCCCATTATAGGTTGTCAACCCCATTATATTTACTCCGTTCCTTCAGTTATATTTATATTCAGTTATATTTATATTATATTCAGTTATATTATATTATATTAATATAATATATTATATTATATTATATATTATATTAATATAATATATATTATATTAATTTATATTCAGTTATATTTATATTATATAATTTATATATTATATTCATTATATTTACTCCGTACCTTCAGTTAGCAATTCTGTTCCCACTTGCAATTTTAAGTTTTAACTTAGTTTAATTACTTTATGGTTATTGGATTAGTGTCTAATTCTGACATCATACGCTAAACTTGAGAGGGCATGGAGAAAGTCATCTCTTGCTCACCATTTTAATCCAGCATCTCGTACTGCCTGGCCCTTATGTTTTGTTGTTGCAAGAAAAAGAAAAGAAAACAGGTCCTGACAGACCAGGTGGCACAAAGGTAGGGACAGCTATGGCTGGGAATACTGGCAGTGATGAAACTGGGGAAAAGTTCATTAGACATCTTATTAGGAAATTTGGGGGGATTTGTACCCTTGGTGATGGTGAACATCGAGAAGGATTTCACACTCACTGTGGCATAATTATTTAATTATTTATTGGTCATTCCAGTTGAATTAACATCCAAAGCATCTCAAACTTAACATATACATACTGAATACATCGTGTTTACCTTCCAACCTCTACCCCCATGTAGGCCATCACAAGTACAGGCAAACCCCAAAATCTCAGTACCATCCTAGATTCCTCCCTGTCTCTTCCTAGATAAAGTTCCTAAAATTATACCTGGCACTATCCACTATCTCAATAATTCTTAGACTTTCTCATGCTCCCACCCATATAGCTAATTCAGGTCACCATCTTTTCTTCTCAGGATCACTGCAAACCCCTGCACTGGCTTCTCCTAGGTCTTCCTGTGCCCAGACCCCTCTCCACCCTCTGCACAGGAACCAAGGAGTGACTCAGAAAGGCATACCTATGTCTTGTCTTTCCTCACTTTAAAGTTTTCTCTTGACCCATGGATAAAAATTGAATTCTCAAAAACGCAAGCAAACTCTGCAGCCTGTGGATTCCACCTTGCCATCCTGAAATTCATGAGAACAGAGAAAGAGGGCCATGTTTTGAGCACAGAGTTCAAATCACTGTGAGGATAGACAGAATCTTCTGTTTTAATTCTAGCTTGCTTGATTAAAAGACAATTTATCCTGTAACAAGCAATTTTCCAACAAATTTTCTGATTATCTAAATTTTGGGGTTTTTCTGCTCACCAAAAGGAAATTTTTTACCTTTAGGAAAATAAAAAAGGAGGTGAAGGAAAGATGATTGTGATTAGAAGTGATGAAGATATCTCTGGACTAGATCATCTTGTTGTGACTGGTCGTTTGGGTATAGGCAGAGAAATTAAGGCTAGCCTTTCATGAGAGGAGAGCAGGACCTAGTGGAAGCTCCCAAATCATCCCCAGAGCTCCACCCTCCCAAAGAGGAGGAAATGGTTTTGTAGAATTTTACAAACAGGGAAGAATGAACCTGAGGAATGGGCTCTCACTTTCTCCCGTACTCCAGCTTCCCCATCATCCACCAGGCCACTCTGCCTTATCTTAGAGTGAAGAACAAGGTGGAGTTTTAATTATTCCACCAAACAACTTCGCAGAGCAAAATCAAAGAGCACAGGGTTGATGCAACCATTTTGTGAGCTGGTTACAGAAACAGAATCTTAACTACATTTTTTCTATATTTTACGCTCATATAAAGAAGAGCATGGACAAAATCACATGGTGTTCACTCAGGGAAGAAAGTGTTCCAGGCAAATGCCCTGCTGCAGTTTACTGCAACATCAGCATTCTTGTCTATTTTGCTCATTTTGCAACCTCTATGCCTTCTATAGTGCCTGATAGCTAATAAACATTTCCAAAAAATTATAAAGATCACTCTAGTCATATTTAGAAAATGGATTGGAAACAGGAAACCATTGGAAAATTCCAAGAGAGAGATGTTGCTAACCTAAAAAAAAAAGTTTCAAAACCTTCTCCTGGATCAGCAGCATTGGAGGCCCTGCTTGAGCTGACATTCCAGGTGAGCTGATGATTGTTCCATGTAGATAGAACAAGGTAGTTAAGAAAGTAGTCTGGGAGGGAAATTTGGGCCAAACAAGGTTTGACACATATCAGCATGAGTTTCTTACCTTTGTTAGTTTTCTTCTTGACAACAGGATTTTATTCTACTGACCACGCCGGGTGTTAGGAGCGTTACATTAAGATCATCCATAAATAAAGTTCTTAGGTAGGTGTCTGAATCATAATATATTCTTTTTTTTTTTTTTAAAGATTATTTATTTATTTATTTATTTTTATACAAGCACTGGGTACAGTCAAAAGTGCAGGAGGGTGAGAGAATTCACCAGAGCCAGCGCTGGGAGCAGAGCAGGCAGACTGACGAAGTACACTGCTGAGGGGAGCAGCGGGCATGGCAGGAGAGGTCTGCGCACCATGTGGGACCCTCGCCCCATGGCCAGGGATCAAACCGGCGCTGCTGAGACTGCGGGCAGCCTCGCAACCCAGCCCTCAACCACTGTGCCACCGGGGAGGCCCTCATAATATATTCTTAACAGTATGAAACTTACTTTACAGATGCAAAATGACTCCTAGCTCAGCAAGAGGAGATGACTTGATCCACATATTAGCAGAAGAGGAAAATCTCACGTTCCAAAGAGGGGTTGGTAACCAAGGTAGCCTGGAAACCAGAGTCCCCACATGAGATGCTGGCAGTCAGTGCACACGAAGCCGCCTCCCTCAACTGAAGTGGGGGAGGCCCACTGCTGTGTCTGTCCTGGGACAGTTGCACGAGCTGGCCAGAGGTCAGGAGCCACCTGTTTTATGACTCTGCTCTCTATCCGTGCAGCATTTCTGAGCCAAGGCTCTAGTTGAGGGTAGAGGCCACGCGAGCTTCTCCCCTAGAGGCAGCCCTGCTCCTGAGCTGGATGCCCAATAGGGGAAAGCGGCCCTCTCAGGCCTCCCTTTGTCTCTCCCCGGGGCACCACCACCTCACAAGGTGGGCCCAGTATTCTAAGTAAACTGTGCCCAGGGTAGAGCTCTGTTCCGCACTAGGAGGCTGGGAAAAAACCAAGATGTTCCTATCTCTCAGCTGCCCGCACCCAGGATTTGGGAGGAAGGGCAGGGGGCATACACCACAGACTCGCTTTTCTTCTACTCTTTGTAGGTGTTCTTGAGTAAATGTTTCTTTATTTCTTGTTTGCCCATAGGACCAATTTCAGAGGCCTTGCAGATTTTTTTCTTTTTCTTTTTCTAGTTTTCACCCGTTTCCCTGGCAACTTAGTCAGTAGCTCACTTCCTGCTGTCAGGCTGGAATTGTCTCCCCTCAGCTTTGAGCAGAAATAAGTGTTTCTCAGGACCCCTTCATGCTCCCCAACAGCTTGGAGTCACCCTCAGCCTTTTGGTTGGGACTCTGGGAGGACTCTGAATATGACCCCTTGTGTCAAATCCTCCCAGGTCCTGACATGGAACACTCTCTCCACTGCTGGTGCTCAGGCAAAAGACTGCATAACGGGTAGCCCTCTCTCTCTCTGTCAATGAGAAACATTAGTGTGAACAATTGAAAGACAGTAGTTTGTGATTGGCTATGGAATGGCAATATGCTAATTAGCAATGTTGAGAGGCAACCTTTCTCAATTCAATACTTCGTACTAAAGTCAGAAATACTTTAACAAAAAGCCAATTGTTTGAAAGTGTTTCTTGAAAATATGATTTGAAATTTTGTCCAGAATTTTGGGTATTAAAGAACTATTCATCTTTAGCATAATGTGGATTTTTTTTTTAACACTAGTCTAAGGCACTCTCTAAGTGGGTGAGTGTACCTTTAACCTTAAGTGAGTGATGCTGGAAGTTTCATTCAGTCTTGTGGGTTTCTGTAACTTGGCAAATTAGCAGGAAAAAGTAAAAGCCTTGTTAATTGTTTCTCTTGCTTAAGTCTTTTTTAAGGAATTACTGCTATAAAATCAAGATCTTTAACCTATATTTGTGATCATAGGTATTGTATTCATCTGTTCCCACATTTTACATGTCAAGTATAATTAGATATGATTGATTGTCATGACTGTTTTTTTTTCTTTGGTAGCAGAGATAAATTTTCACCTGAACATCTTTTCCCTATTGTTTGCAATATTGGTTTATTTTGAGAAGTGTTTGAGATTATGCACAAATCACACTATAATGTCTTTCATTATGTGAAAGGCAGCATTTTAGACAAAAAGAATTGATTAATTGGCATAAAGGCCAAAAGATAGAGTGGACATCGCCAGAATGTCATCCTCACCTTTACCAGGCCAGTGAGAACAACTGGAAACCCCCAGGTGATGCTCGGTGAGTTCTGAGACGAGGAAGGGCTTTTCTCAGTATTTATATGTGTTAATATCACCAGTTAGACAAAGCTACCTATAAGCCAGTCCCCTACAGGTCATCTCTGTGAAATGTCAAACAATACTAATCAAGTCCACTCATATCTTTAGAAGGGGAAACCAGTGATTGAGCCGGAATTAATATCAAAATTCAAAAAGCTTATTGTATTTTTTTAACCACAAACCAGTCTTATTTAAATCAAGACTTGGCCGCAAAAATATTCTAGCATTTCATGATCTGAATTCTGGTGCATGGGATCAATTTGAATATGGCACACGTAAAGCAAGTCGTTAGACATTTCTGTTTTGTAATAAGTAAGTCAGTGCCAACTGTCTCAGTAGTAGGCAATTGGCATTT